TTAAGGATTAAGCTTTAACACAAACTTAGATTGGACATTCAATAATATTATTTGTGTAAAAAAAAATCTTCGTGGATTATCATTTCAACTCAGATGGGTTCAATGCCAAAAAAGAAATTTGCTGTTGTTTATCATTGTATTTTCACTATTATTCCTTGTTCAACCGTGGTTTTTGGTTCTCTACTTAAGAAAAAATTTCTTCGTCACGGTTTGTCGATTATCAATTGTCTTTTATACCCGTTGATGATCTATCTAAAATAACTATGGGAAATTGTCTGCATTTGTAATATTAGCACCGAAAATTCCACTTATTTTCTAAATGGCGAGCTATTCAAATGCCGCTTTCATACATCGACACATCCCGCATATCGTTTAATACCTCCGACCAAGATCAAAATCAAATGTGGGAGACCGAAAGACTCAAGGGAGCCTGAAAATCTCAGTTACTTTGACTTGTCATCCTACCTGAAACGCACCAGTGCTAACAGAACCTTTGATGACCGATCTATTGAATTACCAAGAGATTTTACCACAGAGCTCTGATACACACTAGGCTGGTTCAGCATACACAACACATTCCTATTCATTCTCATAGATGAGTGCTTGCGCAGGTTCTCGACAAATGACACCGTGTCGAACTGTAGACACCTTCATGCGTTCCTCGCGTGAGTTTTTAAAACAGTGTCATTTGTGCTTCACCCTCCGTTTAACTTTTTGGCTGAACGCAACATTGTATGTTCGTTGGTCAATGTCCAACTCATAAGCAGGTCAAGTGTGAAAGTATCAGGGATTACTACCTACCAAGGGGGTTACACTGCATAGTCAGGGTTTAGGTAGTCACGTTTGCGGTTTGTTCTAGTTTAGTATAATGGGATCACCGGAAAGTGAATCTTTCCATGGGTGCAACTCAACCGGGAGATAAGCCGTATTTCGCGCTACGGTTATACATGTTAAAGGATGGTCTAGAACTGGGAGACACAGATAATCCCCAAACATTGTTTGCAATTGGAAATAATGTGTTTGCAATCGTTGTTTCAGGATTGAAGAAATCAAACTGTGAATAATGAATACCTTGAAGATGAGGTTAGAAGGACCAAACAGAGTTTATCATTCTCCAGGTAGTCAACTGAATATATATATATATATATATTTATATATACTAAAAACCGGCAACAACATTGCTCTTGCAATTGTCCTTATTTTTAGATCACCGAGCTTAAACAGGCATCGATGCATGGCTAAATTGTGCATTTTTGTTGATCATAGCTTGGCTATGATTAACGAAATTAACTTTTCTTTCGTGCAAGATGATAACCATGTGATTAAAAATCATGAACGAGCAGCTCACGGATGAAGGGCATAAATCTGACTCCATGTTAGGTCTTTTTCTAACGGTCCACTTAATCCGTTACTTTTCCAAATTAGAATACTCAGGAAAGAGATCCATCTATAACCTAAGCTTCCCAATAGGTGGAATATTTTAACCGACCAGGGCTGTGTCAAACTCACCACCATCAAGATATATATATCATTATCCCCCTGATTCGCTCGACTGCTGCATCGATGACACTCGGCCTTGATAAATCCAGTCGATTGGCAAATTTGCTTGCAGAGAACAGATTTAATGTAGATCAACTTAAAAATCCAAAGATTTGCGGACATTTGACCACAAGGATCCAGGGACAAAGTAGATGGGTCATTGGTCAAACCGCAGGTGGGGGGATCGGAGAATATCTGCACTGGGACTGATATTTAACAGGTGTAGGAAGAAGAGAGACCGACAGATCGAGTGAGATAGACAGACTTGCAGGGAAAGGAGTCGAAATGAACAAATGAGACCGAGGTGTGAAGATAGTTTTACGGAAATGTTGGTATAGGTCTGAATAAGCAGGATATAATACCGAGCGAAAAATAACCGCGAATGGATTCGGTTACTGAATTTATGAAATTTTAGTTCGGATGATAGAAAGTGAATACGGAGGCCTCACATTCCTGATATGTTTGTGTTTGCGTGTGTATGTGCACATGTATGTTAGACTGTGTGTGAAACCGATTTCGGCAGGTCGGAACTAGTTTTTGTACTTTTGTCTGTTAACCTCGTGGACGACTTGGAGTGCGTACGGATCGTGATGTGGAGATAGTGGTCGTATCAACTGGTGGAGCAGGTTTCCATGTTCGCGCAGATGAAGCGGTTTTGATTGTCGGATTGACATCAATTCCAATCTCCGTGTCGTGAGCCCATTCACCGACTAGTTTGCATTGATCCGGTTTTTTCACACTCAAACTACGTCCCGGTGCCATATCGTTCGTCCACGTTTCCCAAGGCACGATTATCTGTTTCGGGGGGACCAGTAGTTTTGGTTTATCTGTTGGATTATTTGGATACCATATAAGGGATTGCGCTGCGTTACAGTGTGGTGGGCTGAGTGCGGACAACGGTAGTGGACGATTGGTTTCTAAAATGATAGGTTGTTCTTCCTGTACGTCGTAGATTCGTTGTAATCTCTTTCCAATCGGCTGATGTGGATCGAATGTCATGTGCAAACCATAACGCCACCGCATTGTTTTCAGAATGAACACTTCATCGTGTTTCGCGTTGAATACATCACATGAGGCCGAACGACTACTAGCCCGTTTGATAGCGACCAGCCAAACCCAAAAGTCTTGCTTTCGTATAACATCCGTCAATTTGGCTCCGCCGTAGTATGGTAATTCCCAGGCCACTGTTGGGTAGAAATGATCCTCATAGGTCAGTGAAACAAGGCTGTCGGAAACCACACCTCGACGTATTTCGAATTTGCTACTGGTCAAACTGTAGAATGGATACTGGCGACCGTCACTGTCATTCACCATTTTATGTCGTCCACTTTTTAGGGGATGAAATTCCCAAAATGAACTTCCACTGTGTCCATATCGATTCTCTAGGTACATCCGATCACAAGCCTGAACTAGTCCAATGCTCCAGCACCGATCCGCAATGCACTCACTTATTTCCAATTGCACTTTACATCGAAAATGTTGACTTTCATATTTCAACAAATTTGTCATCTCCGTTGTGTTGGTAAAGGTTTTGTTGTCGTAGTAAGCACGCACGGACAGGACGTTAATTTGATCGGGGGAGAGTTTGGCCATTTTTGAAATATGGTGCTTTAGTCGTTAAACGCAAACAATGGCTGTGCTTGAAATATTCGACCCTCCGCCAAAGTTAATGTCTGCGTGTTGTCCCCTATCTTTCTATCTAAGGTCCCAGTTAGCAAGCCAATCGATGCAAGCCACTGTTTGAAAAGGGCCGGGCAAGTAGTAACGGAAATCAATCACCTATCAGGCCGCTTAGCGTGAGCTTTAGTCACATGATTAGGACGTGATGATGAGTTCGGAAGAACAGATGTCTTTATAGGTTTCCACAAACAGTATGAAGAGACCGTGGGAAAACAGTGGGACTAAATTACTTTTCATTGTTTGACAAAGATTCAGCAAGCTTGTTTCGTTTTTTTTATACGGTAGGAATCCACATGCATTTTACGCTGTTCTATTAGGGAATCACAAACAAAGCTTCTCTGAACTGGACAAAATAAGTAAATGCCAGACGGGCGATTCATTTACTTTTATTAATTTTTATAATTTTCGGGGAAGTGAATTCGAAGAGTGACGGACCTGAGAAAAAGGAGTTTGACTACATTTACTCGAACCAACTGGAACCAGAAAAATGGAATTAAAAAACCGCGATTCTTGAACTATGCGAAAAACCAGGTAACCCATGTTTACTGTCACTCTTGAGTTCTATACCATTTTTCAATTTATTTCACATCTGTCAAAACTATTCAGAAGTATAATGGATTTCGTCCTGTACAGAGCCAACGAAACGTGGGCTGAAAAGCGAGGACGCACTTAACGGCTGTTTCCACCAGATTGGGTTTCATCAGCAGTGCGAATCCATTGACCTAACTAGATTGTGTTATACAGTGCAAGGAGTAAATGGTAAGTTACAAGCCTGACTTGACATTTTACTTAGAATAACAAACATTTTAATTTGCTCATAGTATCCAAACGGTAGTGAAGCAATAGTACCATGGCTATATCAGAAGGTAAAAATAGGAAATTCTTCCCACTCATAGGCATCATATAACACCGCTTTTGTCTTATTTTCACCACTTTACCTCAGATTTTACTCAGATCAAATACGAGCAGTCGTTTTGTGATTTCAATGAAAGTTTCAAGAATACAATTCATTTTATCAAATGAATCCTAATTTCGTAGTCATGCTCATTCATATCATATAGTGGAAAAAATTCTTACATAATCGTAGCCGTTGGCTCATTTTAAAGTCAATATTCGGAGGTAGAGACTATTGGGAGTGTATG